CAGCAAGGGGGGGCAGCGGGATGGGGGAGGGCAGGCAGGTTGGGGACAGGATGGAGACACCCTGGGGAGGGCACAAAGTGGAGGCAGGGAGGTGTAAAGAGAGAGGGGGAAGGAGGCGAAGGGCACCTAATTCTGGGTGCAAAGTGTGTCTGGTTTCCAAAATTGCTGTCTCTTGTCACCAGAGGGGCGACAGCAGAGTGACCCTGTGCATTAGAGCCCAGGGCTGAATGGGACCCCAGCATGGGGACTGGGCTGTAGCGGCACGGCGTGACGACGGTGGGGACAGCAGCACAGGGTCTGGGCACCTCAGAAAAGCCAGCGCTACCCCTCCTCTGGTACACGTGTCCATCTGCCCGGCACCAGCGCGGCCCGAGCTGCGGCAGGTGGGACAGGAAGAGACTGGGGACGCAGCACCGGTAAAAAAATGGGAAACCAGACACAGCCCCGGGAAGCCTTGGGCTGATGCTTGGTGTAGGGACAGGGCCCTGGAGCTCCGTTAAAGAGAAGCACCCTCGGGTGGGGAGAGCCCAGCTGTGCCGTCCTCACAGCTCCCCACTGCGAGGGCCAGGAGACCCCCAAAACAGCCTGGGACACCCCCGCCCCCCGCCAGCGGGGCTGGAGGAGGCTGGGCAGGGCTGGCCAGCAGCACCCAAGGGTGCTCTCTCTTTAACCCCTCGGACCGCGCTCACCAGATCGCTGACTAGAGGGAGAGATTTGCGTCCAGGCTTAATGTCGGGCATGCTGTTAATGCAGCGCAGAAACCTTACTGCCGCCCCCCTGTCACCGGGGACAGCCAAGCCAGGCCAGAGAAAAGAAAACAGAAAACACAAGCCATGTTAGAGGCAGCTGGGGAGCAGGGCACGGGCGGGCGGCGCAGTCCAGTGGGGAGTGAAGCCGGCAGCTGCGTGGCACAAGGCATTAGGAGGAACCTCACCAAATCGCTAACTAGGGGGATGGGTTTTCGCTTGCGTATGTCCGGCATGCTGTCTATAATGATCAGCCCGCCACCAGGCCTGCAAGAGAGACGAGAGTCAGCGGGGAAGAGGAAACTGAGGCAGGAAAGGGGCTCCCTGCTATTGCCCCGTGCTCGCTCGGGACTTGGTGGACAGGACTGCAGAGCAACCCCTGGGTGGCCTGGGACCCACCCGTGGGATCCCCATCCCCACCACCACCCCAGCCGGGGTAGGGATCACCGGGCTACAAAGTGGGGGGCAAGGGGACTCTGGCAGAAAACTGCAGTTTTCCCCACGTAAAGATGTTTTGCTTCAGTGGTGTGACAGCGAAACGCAGGAAAAAAGTAGCCTGTGTGGTTTAGCTTTGGCTTTGCAGCATAGAGCGGGAGAGCTGGGGTTTCCCTCTGGGACACAAAAGGTGAGCGCTGAGCTATTCTGCCGCAAGAGAAACCAAGGCAGCGCGGCTGGGACAGAAACGCCGCTTCACAGCCTCCAGCCCTGCCCGCAAGAAAACCCCGGCGTGGTCTGGTGGGTTCTGAAGGAAACCTGCCAGGTTCTGCCTGGGCAAGACCCCCAGCCTG